GCAGCCCTTCGCCCCCACCTGTCCTTGGCTTCCCAGCCCCCTCTGGCCCAAAGCACCCCGGCCCCTGCAGCCAGGAGCGAGGGCATTGGGAATTCACCTCCCTCTAAACCTCCCTCTAGGCAGGGGAGAGCAGGTAAAACTCAAAAATATTGACATTTTGCCTCTCGTTTTCTTTTTTGGCAAAGAAATTGCAGCAAGAAATACCTTTTGTTGCCTCTTACCTGTGCCACGCTCACGGGGAGACGGCGTCGGGGGCTGTCGGGGTCTTCAGTTATAATTATGGGTCGGGTTTGTACCCGTATCCTGACGCCTGCTGTGCACAGGCACGTTGCAGCGAAAGCCTCCTCAGATCCACTAGGAAGTTCCCATTTTTATCCCAGTTTAGACCAGAACAGGACCAGATCCAGCCTGAAGCCGCTCCCCGCTAGTCCTGCCACCCGAGCAGGGGCAGCAGAAGCAGCTACCTCAAAGTCACACATCAAATATCCACTTTTTTCCCGCTATCCAAGCTGCTCCTTTTCCCCCAGGGCTGTTTCTACCTTCCAGGACATTCACTTGGCCTCTTCCTTTAAAAAAAAAACCCTCCTAATATTTAATATCGAGCCCAATTTTGAGCATTATCCCTTCTGTTCCCCTCCAGGTCTCCCAAACCGCAAAGGAGGAGCGCAGCCAGCCAGCGATGTACAACCAGCTATTTTTTCCTCTCCCTTCTCCAGTTTGGGGTGAAACGGGGCTGTTTCGGGGCCCTGGGCTTCCTGCTCTCACGCCCAGCCCTGGAGGCAGCTGGTTTTCATGGAAGTGATGCCGAGGTTGAAGGCACCGCGGGACAAAGCCCGTGGGCATCAATGTCCCAGCAATTCCCCTGCTTTGCCTTGAAAGAGGTGGGGAAAAAATAAATTTAAAAATATATAAAAAGAGAGTATTTTAGTATATAAAAATATATAAAAAGAGAGTATTTTAGCTGTCAGGCAGCTAAACTCAAAGGGAAATGTAAGCAGCACCACCGGCACGTGGCTATCCCAGGTTAGAGGATACGACCTGCAAATAAAGATATTTTTTTCTGACTTAAAAATAATCACAGGTATTACACCCGTCCCTAGCGCTGTGGTTTTCAATCACACCTTCCTGTTCCTCTCAGGTCATCGCTTGCAGACCAGAAGGGGAGACAGAGGGACCACCAGCGACCCCGAGCACACCAACACCCGCCGGGCACGGCAGGAAAACCCCGTTTCTGTTTTTTTTTGGTTACTCACAACTCAGGTTCCCTCAAAAGCCAAATTGTTTAATTCGGGCCTTTCGTCCAGCCAAGCTTTCTGCCCTTATTTCCTCCAGCTCTGCAAACAACGCGGGTTTAACGCTCCCTCTGAAAACGCATGAGGACATGAGCAAGGAATTTGGGGGTTCGGCCAGCTCGGAGGCAAACAAAGAGGCCAAAGCTATCCAAGAATGAAGGGGACAGAAATTCTGCCGGAGAAAACGAGTCGAATACCCCAATAAAACGCCAATGGCCACACAACTGCTTTTGACACCTTCTCCAGGAAGCAGCCCAGGGCCTCACCTAAGACTGTGAGGTGCCGGGTTTTGTTTGTTTGCTTTTCAGAAGCAAGAATTAGTCCAAAACAATATCAAAAAGCCCCAATCAGCAGCGGTTTTGGTCCGTGCGTGTACAGGGCGTGTGAGCGTTTGCCTGCGGTGGCAAAGCGAGGCTCCCCAGGCGGATTTTCCACCCAAGGTGAGGAAAAGACCCGAGCCAGCAGCGGGCTGCTGCCAGCTCTGTCCTAACTGTCATTTAATAATTGAGATATTTTCAATATATTTTCAATAGCACCATTTTCCTTGACAACAACCCATTAAGTATCGACAACCAAAGCGCCGCTGGTGGCTCTTCCCTTCCCTCTGAATCCCAGGAAACCAGGATTTTCTCATTTCTTGACCCCGAGCAGCTTTCCCAGGGAAGAACTGGGATGCGAGCGGGTGTCTGCATGTCCCACACCCCCAGAAGGAGCGGGACAATCCCCAACTTACCCATGAAATGGGAGCGAACAGCGAGGGCGGGCGGGCCCTGCCCCTCTCGCCCTGGGGAGGGCTGGCTGGGGGCAGGCAGGGGCTCTGCCGGGTGCCAGCCCACGCCACCGGACACCTTCCCATGTCTGGAGCCAAACCAGTCCCACCAGGCTGCGGAAAAAGCCCTGGGGCTGGAGCTGGGGAGGGCTGGAGAGGGGTGACAGCGCCCCGCTTCAAAACCAGGCACCGCTGGGGATGTCAAGGTAGGGATAGAGCAGCAAAGGCCGGCGCCGGCGCGCCGGGAGGGA